CGATATCACTAGTGGTAAATTCGTACAAAGGAACAATATGTATTGATGGTGGAATTTTTTTAAAAGGATTCGGAAAAACTTTTTGATATATCTTAAAATAAATAGTTATAGTGATATCATGAAGGACTTCCAAGTTTAATCGACGATTTTTTTTCTTGGCAACTAGTTTTGTATTCGGACAGAACGCAATGAAGTTTTGCGCTTTTTGCCTTCTTTTTTCAATGTCATGAGGCATGAAATCTCTATGATCGATATTATGTGACATCTCTAGTCCCTTAAAGCATTTCTTATAAAATATATCTTTAGCATAATGATCTAAAATAAATAAGAAAAAATTAACGTTATATTATTAAGGAAAAAAAGGACAACATGAATAAATAACATTACGTAATAATTCATGATTATATAATTCTGGAAGAGCTTTAGAAACCGTAATTAACCATCCAAGATTTCGTGTTGCATGAGTGGTATAATATTCTAAAAGATACCCTACAATAACAATATGACGGTTGACGCGATTATTATCTAAAAATAAAAAAAAAAGAAGTTAATATATCGTTAAATTTTGAGAATTGAACGATAAAGACTTATCTTTACCTTTTGAACACAAACGAATCGCAATTTGTAAATCAGTTAAGCCGGTTGATTCATAATTAAGTAATAATTCCTTTTCGTTGTCCATCTGTTCCACATTTGGTTCTTTATGCACTTTGACATCGACTATGTTATTATTCCATCGTCTAACTTGTGGTATATGTAAAAGTCGTTTGTTGCCTGTTTTTTCTTCTTCCTTATTATTCTCAATTTCATCAAGCAAAATAAATTTTATAAGAAAAGTAGAGGCTCCAATGATAACATCACTCATAACATTGTAACGAACATCCAACAATTTCCAGGTTTCTTGCTTTTTCTTGATAAATTTCCAAATTAAAAGGGAAATATAATTCATCAATTTTTCAAATTTATGTCGCTTTTTATATCCGACAAGGAGATTTTTTCGACAATTCACGTGAGCTAGAGCCGCACAAGCATGAATCACATCAGTAACATGTCCATCTGTAGATGGCCATTTAATCTCAGCCGATTGATCAACGTTGTTACCAACCCATTTGACTTTTAAATAAAAAGATTTAATCCCAACCTTTAATTCCTCTATTTTCAACACACTTTCTCTTTCCTCTTTATCGTTATCACTCGGTTCTGTTTTATTTGCCCATATAAATTCAAGAATTGGAACCTCCTTATTTTCCCTCCAAACTTGTACCGTGGTTCTTCCAATTATTAATTGAATTGTCTCTTCTTCGTCAAGATAAGCAGAAATTCGTTCATAATCAAATTCGTCTACCCAGGGTTCTTTATTGCTAACCAATGGTTTTAATGAGGTATTATTTCGATTACGATGATAAATCCGATGACTTTGATCTTCATTTAGGGTAATATTTTCACCAGGCGGAATTAAATTGCAATCATATTGATCTAGTTTAGAAATCTCCTTTTTATTTGAAATCCACTTCTCAATTATTGACGAAACTGTACCATCAGCATTAACCGTTAAGAGATTTCCGGGACATCTCGCATTATATGATACTATTTTGACGTTTAAACTTTCATCAATATCATAAGTTTGAATATTATTCTCAGCCGCACTAAATAAATCCCAAATTTTGATTAAAAACTTCTTTTTTTCCTTAATAATTAACAGTAATCCTTCATCGTCACGAATAAATTCTCCAAACATTATTTTCGTACCTATCCCAAAACTTTTCCTTGCAATTTCTAAACCATTCTCGATATAAAAGATTATAATTGTTTCAATACCTCTTGAAAACATCAAGAGATATTTATTTTTTGAAATTGAGAAGATGGGACGAGCAAACTTTTTCGTCAAGTTCCTTTCTAACTTTTTTTGAAATATTTGTTCCATTTCCATGGTGGCCAAGTTAAATAATTGTATGGATTGGGTACCTTCATTATATTGCTCGATCAAAAAATGATTGTCAGAAATGCAAGCCCGTATTCTCTTTAAACAAGAATGGACTTTGTATAAATTGGTCAATTCATCTTGAAGTCTTATCGGGTAAAAGTAATGTTGTTTTATGTATCGTTCAAGATTCTTAATACGATTAGTATAACTAAAGATTCCACTTGCGTTAAATATGAAGCAATGCAATTTTTCATTTGTGGATTGAACAAAATTAACCATTCCACCTTTTGGAATTTCATAGTGGAAGGAATGATCACTCATATCTTTATTTGTGCGGTAAATGACCGTTTTGCCATGTGTTTCATTATTATTGTTAGCCATCATATCATTTTCAATCACAAACGATAGCGCAACGAAAATAATATCCTTAAAAATGTTTGATATCGCTATTTTAAATATGGGAAATTCGGAAACTTTATCTGACGGACTTTTAAAATCCGGAAAATTTTTCTTGTCAATTGTCAATGGTTTCTCGTCAAGCAATTTATCTTTGTTTTCCATTTTGATAATTTTAATTTGAAACGTATCTAAAAGTATCATTAGATGTATATGTGTGTATACTTCTTTTTTTACAATAAAATTACATCAACACTTACTACTGTTAAATGTGAGGATATATTGTCCATCGGGACTTATGGCCAAATACAAACCTTTCTTTGAGGGTTGACCGGCGGATACCTCCGTCATCGTTTATATATCTTATATCTAGATTGATGAATTTTTTTCGCATACCTTTTGATACGTATTTATATATTTCATTTTGACCGCAGTAAAAAAGAAGATTCGTATTTTAAACTTTTTGGCTAGACTTTTTTATCCATATTAAAGATATCCTATATGAGGCATTGCTGGCGTTGTTCGTTTCAATCGCTGCTATTTTTTTTTTTTTTTTTTTTTTTTTTTTTTTTTTAAATTTCACCATTCGTAAATATGGCTTAACTATATCTTACATCTCTTGTTGTGGCTTACATACAAACAAGCAATACCTATCTGCCACGATCTCCATAACGTGAGTTTAATTAATATTTAGAATTTGAATATATTGGCTTATTTCGGATGTGAATAAGCAAATTCCTTATAGAACTTCCACCTTTTAAAAAGTAAAAAAAAGAGATGCTAGAAAATTAAAAAAAGCTTGTCGATTTAAGATCATTCCATTTAAAAAACGTGTTTTGTTTAGATTTTTCGGGCTTCTATTTTTTTTAATTTGTGTAACCTTTAACGTGACGTTAAAAAAAAAAAATAGCGATAATTACACCGCTAAAATTTTTAATTAAATGATATAATGAATTATTTAGTTATGCTCGTAGATTAAGTTATTATTCTTTATAAAAAGAAATCTAAAGTTGCTAGGTTAAGCATATCATTATTTGATAATATTTAGTATTATAATTAGAACTCCATAGTAATATGCGGTAATTAATGTGGAAACATTAAAATCCGAAGGTCTAAGATGTATATTTCATAAATTAAATCAAAATTATTTATTAAATATTATAATGTATTTTATAAACTTTTCAAAAATAATTGTAAATCATAACAAAAGATCTTAAATTTATTAAATCATTCCTTAAAAACTTGATACACTTCATAATTCTCTATAGAAAATGTATTATTTGTATTTCTTATTCCTTTTTCATAATTTTCTAGTTTACAATAATTATAATTAAAATTATTATAACAATAAACATTATTACATGATATTAGAAGATCTTCACCAAAGGAGGGGCCATTACAATAACAATAAATATCATTATTTACATTTTTTATATGACTTAAGATTGGATCTTTAAGATTATCTTTCTTAAAAGAAAATATAAAACTATCCTTATTTAACTTTTGTTCACTCCATTTTAAAGGATTATATCCACCAAGGATTTCATCTGTACCTTTTACCTTAATGAATGTAATAGTATAAGGTATATCCTTACATAATTCATTAAACTTATTAGGAGCGAATCCATCCCTGCTTCCTCTTAATAATAGTTTAAATTTATACGGTAAATACAATCCTCTAGCATAAGCAAATTTGCTTTTAATATCTAATTTATCAATCCATCTTGAAATAAGTGAAGCAATCTTTAAATCAACGATTTGTGAATCAATTATTCCATCAACCTTTCTATTCCTAGGAAGTAAAATATTGATATTTGGTTCGATATTAGGATTTAAATAAGATTTCAATAATTCTTCATAAAGTTGAGGACTTAAAAGCTTTTTAAATGGGTGAACTTTTTCAAAGAAATCTTCGGAAGTTAAACTAAAAAATCTAATCAAGGGTAGACAATGTTGTAAGGTATTTGCCATCATTTTGAAATCATCATCTGACCAGGTTGAAGGATTAGAATTAAGTGTAGGATTTTTTTCAAGACCCCATTTTAATACGTGTTCCCAAACTTCAATTTCATCCATTTGTAATTCATCACTTTTGATAAGTGAAATTAAAGATTTTTCAGGAAGTGATGTGAAATCAAGTGATTTAAATATTTTTTCAGGCGTTTTAACCATAAAATTTGTACAAAACACTTGAAGTTTTGACAAAGAATTAAATTGAAAACTTGTTCTATGAGTTAGCTCAAAATGTTGTTCCATCCATTCAGATTTGTTTTCAATTAAATAATTCTGTAAATATTCGACTAGTTCATGCAGAAGTAGCTCTTCTGAAGCAACCAATAATTTTAAAGTATCCGAAGTATCTTGTTTGTCTAATGAAATAATTCCACCATAAATGTACCTACATCATAAAAAATTTATGATTATTAAAGATGACGGAAAAGATGATAATCATATTCTTAGATTTAGTGTATATACTTACTTCAAAATAATTTGAAAAATTTCTGGAGAAATATTTGGCAACTTAATATGAACTAGAGCGTTATTATTATCCTTTTTACTGGAAGACAACTTTCGTCGCAAAAATGGAGAACGGTAACATAAAATAATAATATGCGCGCGAAATATTTTCACATTCGGATCCTTGCCAACTTCAATTGTAATATCATAGTATTCATCATCATCTAAAATTTCAATATAATTTTGGCTTAACTTGGGAAAAAATTGTGTCGACATCTTTAAAAAAAAAAATTGTAAAAAATTTGCGAACGAAAAAAATTAATATCAAGTGGTAAAGTCATTGCTTAAATAGTTTAAATTCTGTTGGACAGAGAGGTCATCAGATCTGAAGTCAGCCAAAATAGAACAAATTGATCTGCTATATTTAACATTTAGTGTCAAATCCAATCTTTTGTTACTTCTGTTATAAATTTCTAAGTGATTAATTTTTTTTTAGGAATGAAACTTGCTTTTTTTAAATAAGATAAATCATTTTTTTGGATCGCTTTCTGAGGATGAATTTCTTTTAAAAATCATTTTCTTTTTTAGGAACGACCATTTTTTTCTTCATATTTTTTTTAAATAGAAAATAAAAATTTCGAATTACAGACCTTTATGATCATTTAAAAACTTTGATGTAAGAAATTAATGTAACAAAATGAACATCTGTTTTGCAGGCGAGATGTAAAATTTTTCTCGAGTTTTATTACATAACCACGTCAAGTTTTAAGTAATATTGATTTCATTCCTACTATTTGATTCAAATTTTAATATATGGGTGGTGTGCTTTTAAAATTGAGGTACGGATCATATGATTTACTATGTCTCGTACCTCAATTTTAATAGCATACCACCCATATTGCCACAATCAAAGGGTCCAATAATTAAAAGTAAAATTTACATTGATTATTTGACTGTTATATCAGACTAGGTTGCATGTTCTGGATTAGTACATTCGAATTATCTTAATAAAAAGGTCGTTCGTCGTCTTACGTTTTTGGATTATTATAAATTGGACATTTATTATATCAACCTAACTGTTCCGACGATATTTAATTTGTAAAAGTATCTAAATAGCATGTACAGTACATTTTACAATCTCAAACAAAATCGTCAAATCAAAAAAGTTATTTATTAAAACAAATGTAATTATTCATTGATGCAATTATGAAAAGAACAATAAATATAATTACTAGATACATGTATAAAAAAATTTGCTTCAGATATCTTATCTATGAGAAAATAAAAGATAGGAAAGTCGAAAAAAGAAGTCCTCGCTATGCTTATCTAAGTATTAGAAGAAAATAATCTTTACATAGTTTCTTTATTTCTTATCAATTAAATTATGTTAATGTATTCGTGTTTTAAAAGTTTTAATAAAAGTCATCCTTTTGCAAAATGATATCGTTAGAAAGTAGTAATTAATGTTGAGAAAATAACAAATTCATACAAAGTAGCGGTATGAAAAACTTCATTTTTTTTACAGGATTGCCGCCAACTAGTGGATAAAATACCTTGTTTGTCTTTAACAATGCGACACATATATGGTTTATCATATGATTTACTATGTCTTGCTCGTCATTGGTGTCTTCATATTCAAACATCCAATCAGAATTGACTCAGCGTGATAACCGGAAATTTTCATGTGACTCCTAAAAGTATAATGTCCTACTCGTAAAGAAGAGATTTGTATTAGTGAGGTGAAAGGGTGCACCATAATCGGATCACCCAGCATTGGCATAACACACTTTTACCTATATTTTAGCTTTCTATATAATTCGTCGATATAATCCAGTTGATGTCATCTATGAACAATTATCTCAAAAAAAGTTCTTTATATCAAATAGAACATGTCGCCAATGAAAAATAAAAAGATTGATTTTATATTACCGATTCCATAATTTCTGGAACGAAATATATACATTTATAATTACAACACCAAAAAGGGAACAATGGCATAATTATATAAAATACATCCTAGAAAATATTATGCTATGCACAGAGGAATAAAATGGAATATTTGGAATTGAAATGTGCAGTATAATCAGTGATAAGCTATTAGATAATTGGAAGCAATATTGGAAGCATCTTTGGCATATTCTTCAAATAAAAACCATTTATCCAATCAATATTTTATACTATACTATAAATGCCGCATCGGAGTATATAAGATTCGAGTCAAGGAGTTAATTAGGAAATGGGGTTACATATCACGAATTTTTGTTGAATAATGATGATATTTATTATTAGTCGCTCTTCTGTGATGTTTTTAAGTTAAGTACCTTAATTTTGATGGCGAAAAGTCAGTTAACGGCAAGTATTCCGTAAAACTCGTACATATTATTCTCATTTTACAAATAAAATTTATGGGTGTTGATTACGATTTTTCGGAGACAATTAATGTGTCCGAAACTTTACTTTCTAATAAGATAAGCTTTGATTATCATGAAGTCACAATGGCTTGTTTATAGTTATTTTCAATGGATTTCACAATGTTTGTGATTCATATAGCGGTATATTTGATAAATTGTTACTTGTAAAAAAAGAACCATTCCTTTTTTAAGAAACTACGCTAAACTTGATCTCATTACGACAATCAGCCTTCAGATTAGATGATTAGATTGCGATCAAACTGTTATTAATAAAAAATTATTGTTACTATAAAAAATAAAACTTCTTCCGATTTTATCTCATCTTTTTTGTAGGGAGGCGATACGATTTTGCAGATCGGCACGATCGTACCGTACTGGTATGGTAGTACTAGCCGTGGAAAAGTCTGAAGTCGATTGGCCATTAGATACTTTGCATTTTGAGTTGCGACTCTCATTTGAAATTAACAACCACAATTTATTATTAACATCTATCTTAAAAGAAAATTACTTGTAATCACCAGACGGTTAAATTAAGAATAGTTTGTGTATAATGACGTAACGTTGGGGTTTATGTAAATCAAAACTTATGTAAAGTATCATATACTTTACGGATCAAAGTAATTGAAAGTTAAAAATCTACCAGTTTTAATATGGTGCGTAACACCTAAAGTCATCAAAAATTTAGCACAAATTCTAAATGTATCTAATTTTTTAATTTGTATATTATTAAAAAATTAAACCTATTTTTATATAGTTTAGATTGTACTCTATCAGAAAATTGGCTTAAACTTAAAAAAAAAAAGTTATTAGCGTTCAAAAATATAGTACATTAACCAGATTCGGACTAATTTAGCAGGGTGTTTACAGGGGTAAATTTACAAATCGACCAATAAAAGTGCGAGCTCGTTATCACGTGATAACAATCAATCGTTGTATTACAGTCGACCCTCTATAATTGCATGCCCTTGGGACTGGCATTTAGAGAGGGTGTACACTTAATGAATAATAAGAATCACGTAAATTATATATTGAATACGATGTTTTATTATTTATTAAGAATTATAGAAATTATAAAATAAAACAATTATTATTATTATAAAACAACTATCTAAAGTATTGATCTAGAGTAGTCTGTTGCATTGAATTAGTTTGTTCTTTTTTAATAAATTTCTCAATTTTACCCACCAATTTTATTTGTTCACTTGCATTTTCCTGTTGAAGCAAAAATAAATTCACAGTCTTTAAACTTTGTAATGCATTATTAATGCAAATAATTTCTACTTCAGCACTATCATCTGCTTCATCTG